CTGCTGCAAATCTCTGATCCACTGAGCTTCATTGAGGTGAGAGAGTATCAGATAGAAGTTATTTCCATGATCAGGCAGTGAAACCTTTTGACAGTTTCTTTATGGCCTCAGTTTTTACAAACCACTAACAAAAACTATCTGTTTTACAGATATTTCACTCCAAGAGAGACAAGTAAGTTCTTGTTTTTCTTTGTATTATTAGTAGGGTGATTGACTCCCATCTTTGGTAGATTTGTTCAGGGACTACAGTATGAAAACATGTCACGAACAGTTCTTTCTGGACCCTATGCAGACGACACAATCTGGAATAGTGAGGAAACACTGGGGGAAAAGTCATCCAGGAATACGGGGATGAAAACAGGGGGGTGTGTCCAAAGTGCACTGGTGCACAGGGGAGGTGTGGCCGAGGCAAACAATTCAAAAATAATCCAGACAGGGAATCCAAAAACAAGCTAGAGTCCATGGCCTGGTGATCCATCCACGACGAAGGATTAAAACCAGGAACCGGGTCGGATCCGGCAGGGGGAACAAGAACAGGAACAGAGACAGATACTTAAAAACATGACGGAGCCAGACGCATCAGGACCCGGGCTTGCACGATATGGAAATCGGATGCAGAGCCCGGAACTGACTGAGTGTCTGGTTTTTAAGGAGGACGGGAAGGAGACTGGAACATGGGGCAGGTGCACAGAATTAAGTCCAAAAGTGAAATGAGCCAGAGCGCCCTTAAGGAGGAGGGACTACAATCGTGACATACACAAACAGCTTGTATTTCTTGTAACTCCTCGTCCTTATTGAAAAATTAAAAGAACCAAAAAAAATGGCAACTAGTGCAAGATATTTTAACTACTAGTACAAATTCTGAACTCAAATCAGTCTCCTTTCGTGAAGATCCACGACAAACACTACACTGTAACCTTCAGCAGATCAATGTGGCTCCATTTCTGTTCCAAATTAAATCCGGGTTAAAATGCATCCTAGTCAGTTAATTATTCAGTAATACAGTAAATTAATTATTCAGCAGTACAATTAGTGAGTTTACACCTAAGTGAGCTGATTACTGTTTTTGAGACCCTCTTAGGCAGTGTGCAGTGACAGGTACATAAATGTCCTTCAGTGGGACGTCCAGCTACAATAACAGGATCCTAATCTGAGGAGTGTGTCTCAGGGGTAGCAGTAGGAGAAACGGGTAGAAGCAGCAGAAACAGGGGAAAAGTAACAGTCGATTTAGAAGTAGCATTAATAGGGTATGTAGTATTAGTAGCAGCAGTAGAAACACCCATAGTACTGGTGAAAGGAACTGATGTAACAGTAATGGAGCTTAAAAATATGTCACTGACTAGGCAGCAGTTCTGTATGGTATTTTCTAGATACATTAAATACTGTAGGTATCTTTTGAATAAAGTCAAGTGGCTTTAATGAGTCCTGGTAGCGAATTACACTCACATACAGACCATTGTTGTTGACTTGTGTGGTGTTGATCGTTAGTAAAGAACCTCACACAGCAGTCGTTGAAATATGATAAGAAACCTTGAGAAAATGTGCTTGTTCTTCAGTATCTCATTGTGAGGAGTCTGCACCTTGTTATCCATAGTTATCCAGTAACCTCCAATAAAAAAAAACTCAACAGTATCTATTTTAATAGGTACTTAATGTTATTGTAATATTTTAACATAATTCATTGCCTTATTAACAGAATCTGTAAAGACCTGGAGACTCCTCTGTTGAAACCTGATCCAGTGTACCTGAACCGGAAAGAGACATTTGGAGTCATGGACAGCAGATCCAG